CGCACGCCCATAATTGAAAGACGTTGTATTGCAACGTCTCTTTGGTATAATACCTTCCATAAAATTTGAAATGACCTGTATGAACAGCCGTATTGCGCACAACTAATCTATTTAAAAAATTTTATAAGACTATAACATATCAAAGAAAAACCGATTTTAACAAATAATAAAACATACATTATATTTATAATATAAATGATGTTCAAGTTAATAAATATTTTATAAAACAAAATGATTTGTCATGTATTCTAATTTCTAAGTGGAGAGACAATGTCTCCTTATCTCCGATCTAGGACAAATGGACGTAGCCATTTGGACGTGGGGACAATTAGACGTAAAAAAAATTATAATAAATCAGTTATATACCTGTCAGTTAAATCAGTTTAATCTTCATTAAATAAAATTAATAAGCTATTTATTTGTTTTCTCTATTATTGTTTCTCTAGCGCGTTTTTTAATATTGCACACTGCGATATTTGCTTCAACTTTAGCAGCGTCTGAGTCATGAGTATGATTGTTTATGCGCTTAAGAGTAATTAAGCCTGTTATACCAGTATGCACACGAGCCTTGCATTCTCGTTTATATCTACATCTCCAAAACCGTTTTAAACCATAAGAACTAAAAGCGTCAAATAAATACTTGAAACCTTCATTCACAAAAATGTCACCATCACGATTCGAATTAATTTATGACATTTTAGTATTTTACGTTTGTACACTTGTACACAATTTGCACACAACTAATTCGATTATACGTGTGTTTTGTCATGTATCACTGTGTTACGATAATGTGTAATATACATGGTTGTAATAATCAATAAGTTAAAAGCTTTTTATTATATCTATTTTTGTTATAAATTTATCTGTTTCTAAAAAGATAAAATGCAATCTATAGGCAATAAGTACGTAATAATCAATAATAATCGATATTGTTCGATATGATACAATAGCATTAGTTATATTATAAACAAATATAATATCAATGTCATAATCAAATTTATAAATAGGTACCTATAAAATATAAACAAGAACTATTAATTTTTAGTTTTTATTTTTTAATTTTTTTATATATATCTATATATATGTATATATATTTTTACATCCAATTGTCCCCACGTCCAAATGGCTACGTCCATTTGTCCCTATTCGCCTTATCTCCTATGCCGCTTCGTCATTGATGATTATATTATATTAGATCTACGTATATTATATGATGCTCCAAGTGTGTAAAGAAAAAATTGTCTTCTAAGTATATCTAATATCTAATATGTATTTAAAAATCTCACATCACAACCGGAAATGATTTTCCTTAAACTTCTTCGAAACGGCTTGACCAATTTTTACGAAATTTTATGTGTATTTATTCAGTAGGTCTGAGAGAGTGATATAAACTATTTTTTATAATGTACTATGTTTAAAATAATAAAAAATATAATCATAAATATTGTTACGCTAAATGTTTATTCATATGACTAAAAAATGCAAAAAATGAGTATTGACATTAGGTGGAATGACATTATTTGAATATGATTTGACAAAACAAGAAATTTCATGTGAATTTTAAAGCTAGGCTTTCACGATCACGGAAATATAGTACACATAAAATTTGAAAAAAAAGTTCGAGACTGGTGAAACATCCACTAGTTTGCACCCCTCAATCAAAGCCACCTTCTTTTCTGAATTTCAGTTGATAAACAATATGTACATATCTTAACCTGCAAGACTGGAGCATCTTGATCCCGTCCACGATGCTTGTTGTACTGTTTGTCATTAATACGAGCTCGCACAAGTTGTTGTATTACTTAGATGAAAATATATATATATATCTTACGGGCAAAAGCCGAAATCGGGCAAACCTCAGAAATGCCCGGGCAAAACGCGAATTGCCCACAATGTCACATTTCGGCTTTTGACCGGGCAAACCTAGTTATGACCAACACCATTTGGGCAAAACCGCCAAAACCGAATACTGACTTTCATCGTAAGGACAAAACCGTAGTTTTAAATACGTTCGCTAATATTATAAACAAATTTAATAATAATAAAATAAGTATTATTGTACAAATATAATTAAATAAACTTAATTAATATATTTAAACCTCACTTGAGTCAAACTGTAGCGTTTTAAATAACCACTAATATTAAATACAAAAAAATAATAATCATAAAATATTGTACAGATATAATTAAATACACTTAAATAATAATAAAAATATAATGATATTAAGTACTCGTATAAAAATAAACATATAATAATATTAGGTTCTCTATAATATTAAAATAAATAATTAATAAAAAGTATTGTACAGATATAATTGAATATAATAATAAAAAAATAATATTTTTGTTTATTTGTTGCTACACATATTAGAACTACACAAAATTTAAAACGCTACCGTTTAACTCAAGTGAGGTTTAAATATATTAATTAAGTTTATTTAATTATATTTGTACAATAATACTTATTTTATAATTATTATTAAATTTGTTTATAATATTAGCGAATTCACGTATTTAAAACTCTACGGTTTTGTCCTTACGATGAAAGTCAGTATACGCCGTATACGGTTTTGGCGATTTTGCCCAAATGATGTTGGTCATAACTAGGTTTGCCCGGTCAAAAGCCGAAATATGACATTTTTCCCAAGGATTGTGGGCAATTCGCGTTTTGCCCAGGCATTTCTGAGGTTTTCCCGATTTCGGCTTTTGCCCGTAACATATATATCTCATGTTTTTTTTTTTTTTTAATACTTTATTAATTTATAATTATAATTAACTTCAATAGTATTATTGACAATATAGAATACTGTAGTAATATACCTATTTTGCGTACTAATTGAAAAAACCATGTAATAATAAATTCTATTGTAGCCTAGCAAAAGTAAAATGACTGGGTAAGTACGGTCATTATAAAGTACAGTATATAACTGAACTGCTGCTGTAACATTATTGTTACACTCAGTGTAACATTTAAGCATGTCTATTTTTTCTACGTTAGAATATGACATGATTTAAATTGTATTATAATGAAAATGCTTATATACTTGTGGTATTACTGATATTAATACTCAAAGAAAAAAAAACCTCATAATAGAATAATTGCTAGGATACATTACAATGTAATTAAAGTGGTATATGATATTGATTGATATTTCCCCAAAATTCTTTAAATAAAATGAAAATATATTTGTGTTTTATTAATCATGTAAATGCATTTTTACTTTCACATTAGAAAAAAAACAATTTGTTAATGATTTAAATTTGTATATAAAAACGTTTATATTAAAAAATGTTTTTATTTTAATTATGTTATTAAATAATAGTACTTATTGTACCTACATTTCATGTTTGGGATTTTTCTCATTTTGAAATTATTACATCATGTATATAAGCTTTAATGTGTATTATAATAATTAGAAAACCTTTGTTCATTTGTATTTTAATAAATTCAATTTATTAACCTCGCTATTATTTTTTATTTATTAATTACTCGTATATCAAATATAGATATAAGTTTCTTTAGCTAACAAGAAAAATTAGATCACATTAGAAAACCCAACAAATAAATACACAATAATAAATTTTTTAAAAAGAAAGATTTCCATATCTTAATATGAATCTTATCTGAACTTGATCGTTATTTTATAAATATTATACATATTTATTAGTTTTATCTAACTGGAAAGTTTGGCATTTGAAAATGTTTTGTACAGAGGTACTTATTTCTGTGGTAATTCTTGTTCTGTATCTTGTTTAGATTCCTGCATTGAAAGGTTATTGTCCATTTTTTCATTAGTTATATTATTTAAAGTTCAAAATTTTATAATAATGGACACTTATGAAGATTTTGGTATATTATACAACAAACAAATGAAAAATAATACTGATGATAATACTATGACTAAATTACAATTTTTCAAGTCCACATTTAAAGACTAATTCTTTGAAAATAATAATAAGACACATATAATATATAAATTTACAGCAATACCATACATTGGAAAACAATTAAATAATAAAAAAAGCTGAAAGCAGTTATTATACTGAAGATGTTATAACATCTTCAGATTGAAAATAAATCACTCGCTGAAGAAATTGTAAATTACCAAAATAGAATAAAAAAAAAAAAATACATAGTGTATAATTTATTTATAATAACATGTTATTATGTAACATTAAAATTTCAAGAAAACACCTATAAAGAAAAATATGAAAGTTTATAAAGCATACAAAATTAAAATTATTTTCATTCAGGAGCAATAAATTGTGCATAATTTATTCTATCACCTAAAATGAGTAATTAGATAAAAATAGACGATTTAAAGCCACTTGAATCCAAAATTTCATTTATTGAAAAACGAGAATGGAATAATTAAAAGTGCAAGATGAATCAAGCAATTCGGAAAATGTCGACTTAATGAAAATAAATTATGTAAACAGACAAGATATTGTATGATCCTCAGTGTTGTAAGAAGTTGATTATTGAATCAATGAATTCATTTGGAAAGTTACTTTTACCTATAATATAAAATAAAATGATAAAATAATGATTAATGTTTATGTAAAATATAATTTTTTAAAGTAAATAAAATTAATTATCGGGCCCCAAAAATTCTGCGGGTTGGCACTGCGATAGATCGTATATATCGATATATCGTCATTCGTCAATTAACTAACCAGAATGTTCCATTAATAACAATATATAATTATAAACTTAGATTATCATGATTAAAGTAATAAATAATAATACCAATCACTACAGACTACTGAGAATAGCAAACAGACGACAGTTATTACTAATTAGTGAACATGTTTTTATATATTTAGCTATATTAATAAAATATAAATGTAGGTACAGTGTACATTAAAAGTTATAAATAGTCTGCCAGCATGATAATAACTAAAATCTTAGTATCCTACATTAAAACTTCATACGACATTTTATCATTGTAAATCCGTTGGCCGTGGCTGTTAGTTGTATGTTATTTTTATTGGTAAAAATGGATAAATTTATTTCTTCCTGCCCTCGCGGTAAAAGAACGTATGAAGATGACTTCGATGCAGATGACCCTATCCTTGGCCATCCAGGACCGTCTCAACTTGAAACGCCTAGATCTACTACTAACAAAACAACTATTATTGACGGAACACAGAATTACTTATTAGATGGGAAGTACTATAAAATCGTTTCAGTCAATGAGTCGAAAATGGTTGTATCGTGTCAACAATGTTCAAAACAAATAATTGCCCATTCAAATTCGACTGGAAATTTATTAAGTCACTATAAGGTAATTTTTAATAATTAATTTATCTCAGTTTGCTTATTTTTATTATTTTATTAATGATAAAACTTTTGAGAAACTTATCACTTCTTCATAGTTACTTAGTCAGTTATTATTATTTTTTTTTTAAATATTGGTTTTTTAAAATGCTGTAAAATACCATATTTTTTAATTCTATTATTGACTAGGTATCTATTATTATTATACTAATGAGTAATAATACTATTATACCTAATATTTACTAACTTAACCTTTTAGCGTGTGCACTTTGGAATGATGAACAAATTAAAATTGTATAAGACAGAAAGATCCAGTAGTTCAAACAGCATGTCAACATCCAAACAAACCAAAATATGTCATTCTACAGATAATTCTGGTTTCAGTAAAAAATGCTCTAGACAAAAGGTATGCAATTATCATATATATATTTACTATTTGTGATACTTAGTTAATTCAATAAACCATTCAATTATTTTATAATCTATAAAGCTGTGTTTTACTTGATAAATGACAGGAATGAATTAGTAAAGTAAAAATACAATTTAATTTAAAATATTGAAAAATATATTTATTATATTATTTGTGTATAGTTTAATATTCTATTGACATACATTATTTATATTATAGGTAACTGATTTAGTATTCAACTACATAGTAGAAGAAATGAAACCTATTTCAACTTGTGAAAAACCCTCATTTAAAAAATTAATTACTGGCTTGACTAATGATAATTTTGTGCCAGATAGAAGAATTATTAATAAAGAGTTAGTAAATAAGTATAATTGTTATGTAGATGACTTAATTGAGAAAGTCTCTAAACAAAAGTATATTTGTTTGACAACGGATATTTGGAGTTCATTGAACAAAAGTTATTTGGGAATGACTATGCACTATATAGATGAAAATACATATCAGCGTTTTTCATATGCTATAGCTTGTCGAAGAATAGAAGGTAGCCATAATTACATGAATATTGCCAAATGCATATCTGAAATTTTGACGAGTTATAGAATTGATGTTACAAAAATATCTCACACAGTCACCGATAATGCAACTAATTTTGGCAAAGCATTTCGCATTTATGCTCAACAATTTACTGCTGAATCAACGACAAATAGTTACTTAACTTTAAATGACCAAAGTATTAATAGGCTGATAGATGATATTGATCAAAATGCTGAAAGCAATTCTGAACTAGATTCAGAATTTATGGAAAATGAACCTGATGATACAGAAGTGGTAAATTTATCTGATATTTTATTAAATTATGAAGACAGTGGAAATATTGATAATGAAGATGTTGACATAGTTTTATCAAACCATATGACATGTTCTGCACATACTTTAAATTTAGTAGCTACAACTGATACTTCCAAGATAACAGATTTAATATACAAAAAAATATCAAGATCTGCCTTTGGTAAGCTTTCATCCTTTTGGAATTTGCTAAGCAGAAGTACAGTGGCTAGATCTAACTTACAAAATATGTCAGTGTAAATTTCCAATACCCGTAGTTACACGATGGAACTCATTCTTTGATTCCATCAAAAAAATTATTCATTGCCGTCTAAAAGTGATCGAGTGCTTTGAACAATTAAAGCTTTCCAAATTAAAAGTGGCTGAATGGAATTTTTTGGTCGAATACATCAAAGTCATGGAACCTCTAACAATAGCATTAGACAAACTACAAGGGGAAAAATCATGTTATCTTGGATATGTAGCTCCAACTGTTATTACAATAAGACATATTATATTAATGGAACAAAATCATTTGGTGTATTGTGCATCATTATCAAAGGCTATTATAAAAGGTCTAGAAAAACGGTATTCGTTTATTTTTGATTTAAAAGAACCAAAAAGTAAGCCTTACATATTAACGGCAGTAAGTCACCCCAAGTTTAAAATGGATTGGATGCCACAGCAATTTTCAGAAATATGCAAACAGTTATTTATCTCTGAATGTAATCAAATTGTTTCTGAGATAAATAGTGAAACTGGGAACTATGCAGTATCAGAAAATGATAGTGAGGATGATTTTTATAGTTCGTTATTGTCAAGTTCTCAATCATCTGGAAGTTTTGACAGTTCTAGTCAAAGAAGTGACAACATGGCAAGTCTACAGGGTCTATCTTTTTTAAATTCAAAAAAAAAAGATGGACGGAAAGACTTGACAACCTTGGACAACTATCCAATTGTGAAACAAATATTCCTTAAGTACAACACAACGCTTCCTTCTTCTGCACCAGTTGAACGTCTCTTTAGTAGTGGTAGTCAGATCTTGGCTCCTAGGAGGAACCGTTTAGGTGACAAAACATTTGAAATGTTAGTATGTGTTAAACCAAACAAAATAAATGATTAGTTTTTATTTAAATTGAATTAATTAAGTATTATATTATTGTATATAAGAAGGTTATTATATATTAATGAATGTTTGCTATTCATTTAATTCATTAAATAAAAATAATAAAATGTTGTTGACAATAATTTGTGTAGATTTTTGCCATGTTAAATATAGATGTATGTATGTATAATCAGTGCTTGAATTGGGAAAAAAACAGAAAGAGTGTAACTAAAATATGCGTACCTCAAAATGTAAATAAATTGTTGATTAGGATATAATTAGAGGGGGTACGCTAAAATATTTTTTTAAAAAGAAGAGGTCCCCTCGATTTAAGCACTGTATAATTAATAATTATAAAGTAATAAACGAATAACTATATTATTTTCAATGTTAACTATTTAAATTATAATTTTAATTCAATAATGGTTTAGTTATCATTTCAAATTTTTATAATAGGTATTATAATTTATAAACCTGATTAAAAATGCAATATCTTAAAAAATAATATACCTAATGTTTTTGTTAAAAAATTATAGTTGAATACTAAGCAAAAAAAAGTAAATTTTACTTACAATGTGCTCCAAATTATTAAAATAAATAAAGATTATTTTATTCATAATAAAATTGCAATTTTACAAATGCAAGCTATAATTTGTGTAAAATATTTTAAAAAAAATTATCTGTTTTTTTATCTAGATAAATGTAGTTATCTATTATCTAGATATATATTTTGATTTTTATCTATTATCTTATCTAGATAAATTTTCAATGAATTATCTGTTATCTTATCTAGATAATTTTTTGGTTATCTATGTACAACACTGGTTGTGGCACATCCAACGGTAAACTTTCTGTAGTAATTGGATCATATTCTATGGAACTACATACAAAATAAAATACAATTTAAACAGTAGGTATGCAATATATGTGTATTAATAATTGTATAGTATAATTAAATTATTATTAGTTACATTTTATACCTAGAATATTAAATAATAATAGTGGTGAACAAAAATATAACTTTTCTATGATCAGAAAAATAAATTTAAAGTACCATATAATTGTAAATAGATAAATGTACCAAATTATATAAATTGCGTTTTCTGATGTCGGTTTAAAACAAATACAAACATTTCCAGATGATAACAACAAAAATTCAAATGCACTAATTATTATGACTTAAAAATATCAATTTTATTGAAATAATTAAATAATTATATACGTATTTGAATTTTTTTTTTTTTGTTTTAACTGTCATATAAAAATTATGAGTAAGAAATGACAAGCATAAATTAACAGATTATCAACAACGTGGTATCTTATAATTTATCACTATTATTTTAAGATTATAAATTATATTCACCAATGTGTATACTATCACAGACTAAATAATAATATCATTATTTAGCCCGTCCAGTATATTTTTGTCTGTGGTTTATCACAATTAGCAATAGTTATATTTTATCTAAACGCTGATATCTGAAATCATCTTACCTGATTTAATAGCACATGCGTAATCTAGAAGCAATTAACGGGACGTGTATAAATAATAATACAAGAGTAGTAGCTATGTTTATTTCTATTTTAATACTTATGTATTTCTAATTTATTATTATATATTCTAACTGGCAATCATGGTACATAATATTTTACATTCGTGTTACCAATTATTGGAAATTATTAAGTAATTTATTCTAGGTAATAATAGTCTTGCTATAAAATATAATAACACCTATAGGATATAAGATAACATAGGTACTAAATAAAATGAAAAAAAAATTGTTTTATACATATTTCCTTTATTTTGAAAATTGTCAAGTGCAATATTAATCCATGAGCATTTGGTAACAAGTAATAATTATTAACGAATATTTTTATATTGCATACCGAATTTTAAATTATTAAGTTCACATCCATTTATTAACTATTTAGTATATTAGACTATTATTCTTATTTCTTTGTATTTAAAGTAGAATAACTCTGGAAGTTTTCGTTCAAATTTCGATTGCAATACATCAAAATTTTCAGAAAAATTTTCTGATTCACATTTTGCTTTAAAATATATGTGATCTCATTTGAAAAACCAAAGTTGATATCGCCACAGGATACTCCTTAAATGTTGTGAAAAATCTAAGTACTCTAAAATATTGTCTTTATCTACATTTAAAAATTCCAAAAATCATAATTTGAATATATGCATAATTTAAGCATAAAAATGGGGTGAGTATGCTTAAAAAATCACTCTGTATTTGGATAAAAAATAAATACCTACTAATAATAAAAAAATATATGTCACAAAAAATACCCATCGCGATATTCAGTGTAAAAAAATTAAACTTTTAGTATTTAAAAATAATTGTGATATCAAACTAGTAGTAAATGAATCAAAAATATTTAAGTACTAAATTTCATAACAATTTGCTGAATTTTTTAGGTGTACCTATTGAAATATACAAATCACTATAAAAACTAGGACCTATCCTGGACAAACGGTTTGTGCAAAGTAATGATAAACAGATGTATTATTACTTAAAAATAGAGATTTTAGCTATATTAATTACTTTCCAAGTTGATAAATTAATAGTTCTAATTGTAACTCAGGGAAGTTGATACCACTCTGTTGTATAGTAGGTGTCGAGTAAATTACTGTTAACAAATATGTTAAATACAGAACATGAAATATTAACCTGAACAACCCTAATAAAAAACTTGAACATACACAACAGATATTAAAATTATTATAATATTATGATAAATCTATAAATCTTATTATATAAATCGTAATATTATTATTTACTAGAGATTTTAAATAAAAACTAAAATCTATTTTATATAACGCATAAATAGTACTTAATTTTAATATAATATTACTTCATAGCAATCAATTTTTATATAAGTTTGTTAGTACCTAATTATTATATTATATTCAATCAAGTAATAAAATGTACAATTACAAAATATTTAATATCTATCTTTTACCTTATAGTCTATGATATAAGTCATTGTAAGTACTGATAAAGATAAAGTTTTATACAAAATAATATATGTAATACATACTCATTACCCATTAGTATTATTATACATTAATATGGAAAAATATTAATTTATAAAAAATATTGAATTTTAATTTAAAAATTTTTTTTTTTTTTAATTTTGCTTAAAGTAAAGTACGTATAAGTACACAAAGTAGGTATACAGTATTATATATTATCAATAATACTATTGAAGTATATATTTTGTTATATAATATAGTTAGTTATAATTATAAATGAATAAAGAATAAAGTATTAAAAAAAAAAAAAAAATACACGATATATAAATTATATATATTTATTTAAGTAATACAACAACTTGTGCGAGCTCGTATTAATGACAAGCAGTACAACAAGCATCGTGGACGGAGTCAAGATGCTCCAGTTTTGCAGGTTTAGATATGTACATATTGTTTATCAACTGAAATTCAGAAAAGTAGGTGGCTTTGATTGAGGGGTGCAAACTAGTGGACGTACGTAATACATACTCATTACTCATTAGTATTATTATACAATTATATTGAAAAATATTAATTTATAAAAAATATTGAATTTGAATTAATTTTAATACTCCTTAAATGTTGAGAAAAATCTAAGTACTCTAAAATATTGTATTTATTTACATTTAAAAATTCCAAAAATCAGAATTTGAATATATGCATAAAAATGGGGTGAGCATGCTTAAAAAATCACCCTGTATAAAGGTACTGCGTTCAATGAATTAAATTATACCGACGAATATAAATATTACATGGAACAACACAACTGCCCAACAAACTAAATCTACTGTAAATTATATCAACGTGACATCGTTTTATAACTTCAATTTCAATTTCATTAATAACATAGTTATAAAAAAATTATAATCTTCACAATATTTCTATTATCTAAAATAAACAAGTTTTGTAGTTTGTTAGCTATGAGCTAAATCATCGTTTATTAATATAATAATACGAGTATAATTAATATGTTTGATAATTTATTTCATAATTTTTTTTTTTTTATAGTTATAATTAGGTTAGTATTAAAGTGTTTATAATTAATAATGACTAAATTTGGTGGGTCTCAAGTTGAATTATTGTAGGTCACTAGAATTTTTTTAACTATAAAAATTCTAGTAAATTTATATTTTAAAACTATTTAACTATAAACTTAAAAATAAAAAGTAATATAAATCTTAAGATTTATCCAGTAACCGTATTGATATTTTTGTTAATTAATTCTGTGAATTCTCTTATTGTAAAATATAAAATATTGATTAGTAATTTAATCACTTAAATTAAATTTAAATCACATAAACCAAACATCGTGTATTTTGTATAAATGTTTTATATATTTGAATATTTGAATATATAAATCATAATATATAGATATATAAATTTATATAGTTGACTTTATGCAAGATTTTTTTCAAATTTAAAATCTTAAATTTTTGGTTAAATTTAATCTTTAGTTCTAAAAAACTAAAAATTTTACGAGATCTTAAGAATTTTTCAGGCATATAAAACCATGAAACCATTATTATAGTAATATTATTATCAAGCGATAAAATTATAATATACTGAAATATAAATAAACCATTCTATATTATATTGTATTATAATCAATGACACGCGATCATTTTAACCATAGGTTACGTACCTATATTGATAAATAATATGATGTAATATGAAATGTTACAAAGGCACAACATCAATTTGACAACAAAATATTACAAAAACAATACAGTTAAAAGACACAAATTTTTATAACTAAATCTACACGATTAGTGTATATAAAAATAGGTCTTGGCACTTCTATTATTAGTATATCTATATTGTATATGATGTTATATATGTATAGTCAACAAACTGATAGGAACTTTTGATGAGTTATACGCATAGAATGAAAAAAACAATCGAGTCGCTTTAACTAATAGTTTCAGGTAAGGTAAATAACTACATATTATTACTACTAATAATTAGGAACACCCTTCATTCCAACAAATAATATTATCAATTGTTACGGTTTTATTGCACCATACTTAGAAGTAATGCCGTTTGAGTCTTTCAAAAGATCCGTATCGGGTAATTTATTGTACGATTCTTTGGTTTCCTTTCTATGCTGCATATAGAGCCATCTAAAATAAAACAACAAAATTACATGTTTTATATATTATTAGGATATTAAAATAACAAAAAACGATATTATTTTACTTTTCGTTTGTTTTAACAATGGTAAAACATCCACAACGATAATTTGTGGGTGTAGTTTTCATTTTTAATTTAACATAATAATATGATGTGTATAAATTATAAATACATCATAATTATATACCCCAGTACTTACAGATAAATAAAAATAGTTGGGACCGTTATGGCCGCAGTAACTAAAAAGTAAGCACCAGGGAAGTAGCTCAGTGTGGATTCATATACGTAACTATATAACGGGCCACACAAAATGGGTATAACGTTTTCTCCGATACTCGTCACTGCGCTGACTTGGCCTAAAAATAAATAAAAAAGACAACAATATTATTGTAAAATTTTATTACGATAGTTTAATACGTGAACTGTTTAGTTATTGGTAAGTACTCACCGAGTTCTTCGGCTGGAATGATTTTGTTTATAATCGATTTCATGGAAATGATGGCCGGTCCTTGTAAGAAGTTAACAAACGCTCCTGAAATCAAAATTTTTCGTTACATAAGCATATTGGTACACATTTACGATATTTTTAGGTATAATTGAGAAGTACTTATAGAATGCCGAAAATAGCATAAACGATATTTCATGTTAATGCAATATTGTAAATCATTACAAATCGTAATGTAATAATAATATGTATCATGTCGGTATTCGTATTTATGCCAATGACCGATACCGCTATTGATTTAGTTAATTTTACTCACCTAAATAGAATACAAATGTAGTAGTGGCGAACGCGAATACGAATTGCGCTAATAATTTTCCAGTAGTAGCAACAGTACCGATCAAGGCATCATCAATGCCGAACTTTCTGACCACTATCCCGATAGTCAAAAATGTTCCTGCAAGATACGTAAAAAATATTCCAAATTAAGCATAAGTGTTTACAACGTGCTAAAAAAAATCTGTGCAAAATTTAATATTGAAGTAAATTTCCAACGTCACTGACCCACAAGATTGATACACATCGTAGTGGTTGAGAACACGCTGAATTGCACTTCGTTCCAATTAAACTTGACTCGAGTAAACAAATACGCAACTCCTTTGTCACCTAGGATTACAACGAATGATATAAGTATTATTGGTATAGGGTGGTGTTAGATAATGTATTAGACACTAATGTGTATAATACGGAATAATGTTTTAATGCATTCTGACTGCATAGTGTTGCATAGTTACAAAAATATAAGCAATTATTTGCATTTGATTAATAATGAATTTTTAAATTTAAATAACACAGAATAACAAAATTGTACGAATAATTTGATTCGTAATAATATAAGGTAATCCAAAAAATATCCGAAAATATTTCTGTCAAAATTATTTTATCTGAAAACCAATTGATGAGAAAACATGAAAAATATTTTATTCGAAAATATTATATCCAAAAATATTTTGTTTAAATAAATGTTTTGAATGAAATATTTTCTGTTGTTTTACTTTTGGTTTATACAAAATATTTTATACTTAAACAATTATTGTTTTTATCATATTATTTGGACAAAATAAAAACAAATTTATAAATAATGTGTACAAAACCTTGCAAGTCAAAATACATCTAACTACATTATCAATAATTAAACATCATATTAAGTCCATTGTTAATATTATACTAGGAGGTATGACAAAAGTTTTATTAGTATTAATTGTTTTAAAAGTTAGAACTATGATTATATAATATTTAAACGTTTTAAATATCAACTAACAATGAAATACAAAAAACTTTTGAATGAATTCAATGATTTTGGTGAAGAATCCTATGTAACTAACATATGCCTAAACAATAATAAATAAACATACCTAGGCAGTTATAACATGGTACATAAGAATATTCCAAAAATAAAAAAGTGATATTTTTATGATATTATTTAATGATAATAAATTATCTTTCAATTATTATAAACTTTTTAATAATTTAACTAAATGATTTTTATTAAATAATACTTATTTTTATCATAAATTCTTGGCAAAAGATAATAATATTTTAAAAATGCTATCTAAGTTACTATTTTTATTTAATGATAGTTATTTCTATAAATATCATTACAAAAGTTTTTAAATAGTTTAATGAGTCTTTTATTTGTTTTTCTAATAATTTTAAGTGATTTAGTTAATATTATTAATTATTATGTAGTTAGTTATTGAAAATGTGTATGTATTATAATAAAATTATTAGTTTTAAGTTTAATTATTATAAATATTAAGAGTTTGTATAATATAACTATTTAGGTATTATATCATAAAGATATACTCCACTAAAAACTTGTAAGTCAAATTTATTAAACTCAATAACTCATAAGTCATAAGTCTTAATTAACTTACAAAAATGATCTATATGTTGACTTTTTTATCTTTTCAATAATAATTATTAAAAAATATGAAAGTAAAAAGTATTCATAATTTACAAATAAAATTACGTGCTACAGTTTTTTCGCTTTTTCTGAATAATTTGATAAGAGTGATTTACGATATTAATTTTGTTTAGTCAACAATCGTACACTAAATAATCACGTATCTTTAATATTTTATAGTAATATATTAATTCAAATTAATGTGTAAAAGTGAATAATTATAATATAAGAATGTATAAAACGATTAATATAGGTAGCTATAAATCAAAGATTTATTATTAATAGTAAAATAAATGTTGATGACATCGTATAATAATATACAAACTAATTAAAATAATAAGGAACTAAATTGTATTAATTTATTAATTTTTTATTGCTTGTATTATTAGTTCTATTCAAAACTGTACTTCTGTTTTAAATTAAAGACATTTGAAGGGCACATTTTTAAGATTTTATTGATGAAAAAATTTACAAAATAGATTTATTCCATCATCTGGTTTTCATAACAAAATTATTAGAAATGAGATTTAAAATGATGTGTCAGGATATAAGCAAAATAAGTAAATTAAATTAGAAAAAAACTAAATACGCTCAGATATAATATTATTTATTTTTAATTAATAACGTACAACTTTTAATTATTAACATAATATCCTATTTTAATTTACTTCACATAAATTGGACGATCAACGTTGTATAATACGTCATTATATTAATAATTATTAATAAATCATATTATATTAATTATAGGTTATCAGAAATAAAAAGCTAGGATCACACTATGCGTTTTGTCGGCAACCGAAAAATACTATCCCGATTAACCGCAATCGGGACGATCGATCATATTGTGCGTTTTATCGGTAACCGAATATATACAAATGAGATTAAAAAGCCCGAAAATCGTTTTTAATTTAAATTTAAATTTTAAACTGATTTTTTATTTAAATGAAATGTATCTAATATTATAAGTAAAAAATAATAAAAAGGTTGTGTGATTAGAATTATTTGTTTTTATTTAAAACGTGTAACTAATAATTATGCTAATAAATAATAATATACATCTATAATATAAATAAAATATAATATATATATATGTATATTACAAATATATTTTAAGTTTTTTAATTATTTAAATTTAAAAATGATTATTAATTATTCATAAAATTTTCAATTTCGGTTACCGATAATCCGCACAAATGTGATCGGACAAATTGCATTGCATGTGTTGTGCTTTACATCCCGAAACGTAACCGGACGGTTGGGCCGCAACACGTTGCGGTCGCTTCCCGACGGTTTTTAATCGGTTCCGTAAATCGGTCTAGTCTGGCCCTGATAACGCGTTTTATATTTAAACCTATTTTATTTTAGAGTGTTGCGGTTTGGCTCCGGTTGATCGGGAACCGACAAAACGCATAGTGTGATCCTAGCCTAAGGCTAAAGTACCCAATTATGATTAAATGCCTCTTCAGCCATTTGCTATTAACTAAATTCTGATAAAAATGAACGTATTATTATTTTATCAATAATTATTATTTATCGTTGCTTTTCCATAAATTAGAAATTGATATTATGATATTATGTAATTTTATTATTTTTATAATATGTCTTATTTTATTAGGTACAGTAAACAGTTGATTAGTGGAAATTAGGAATGGGATTGAGGGATTTAGCCTACCAAGCTTCCCTAAAAGTTATTTCAAAAGTATAAAATATTGTAGTTTTAATTTCATAAATATTAAAAAACAAAAATTAAAGATCACATAGTTAATATTTTTATATTTTTAATTTATTTATAGCAACTTTTTATATAATATATTGAAATATATGTAAACAGAGTTTGAATAATAATTTAAATACTAAAATAATATTTTTATTATTTTGTATTTTAGGATTGGATATAAACAGATTAAATATTAAATCAGAAATGACTATTGCTAAAAATTGCATGATTAAAATCAATAATAATTTAAATATTAATAATTTAAAAACATAATAAAAAAAAAAGAAAATTTTCCTAATGTATAAAAAATGTTACAAATAACACTTTTTCTATCATTTAGCTTAACAACATGTGATAAATATTTTTTAGCTATGTAAAGAATAAAAACGTGGCTAAGAATTTCTATGCACCAAGAATGTTTTACAAATAATAATGTCTATTACACACATAGAAAAATATTTAATAAAAAGTATTGACAGTGAATATATTTTATATTAATTTACAAAATCTTCAAAGATGTTAGTTTTAAAATAAAATTTAAATTATTTACGACTTATTCATAGTTTTATTTTATTTAATCTACCTTTTTATCAAGTTTTTTTTCTTTAGAAAAAATATACAATCTATATCATATCATAGAAATAATAAGTATATGTGTTAAGAAAGAAAAAAACATAGATTATGAGATAGATAATTTGAGAAGATGAACCACCCAGTTATGCAACTTTCAATTTGGTTTATTTTTCATTTATTATATATTTTATTTTATTTTATTATTATTATTATTATCAACACAATAGATCTCTGCACCATGTGGGTAAATAAAAGGATAGGGATGCCGTAAAGTATTATATTTGGACAAGGAGCATGCCTTAGTGTGAAAGTAGTGTGAACTGATTTACTTTGGTTTACTTTAAATTTCCATTTAGTGTACCAGTTTTCCATCAGCTCAAGGTGAGTTTACAAATGTTTTTATTAAGCTAAATATATTACTAAACGTCAAGTATGAAAAAAAAAATAGGTAGGGTATTTTAGTTTAAATATTAGGTGCAGTACAATTATTTGAATATTAAATAAAAAAATTTTAAGAATTTTTTATGAAGGGGTGTACTCTCCACAACTTAATTTCATATAAAGAATTATACACTTTCAACTTTTTCAATGGTTTTCCCCCTATTTTAGACACAGCAAATTTATTTAAATTTATTTTGAATAAAACTTTTTCTATTTGTTCAAGTTTTTAGTATAACAATAATCTACGCTGTGTAATGTGTTATATTTTTTCTTAAAACTATTTTATTGTTACTATTGAGATTTTATGTTTTATTTCAATGCTAATATGTTATACACATTTGAATTGGATTTTCAAAGATTTATTGGATATTTAAAAGATGTGATCTATAATGATAATCGTATCTAGTTATTGTAAAAAACACAACCTATTTTCGCAACATAATATTATTTCCATAACTAAATAAAATTAATTTTACCTTGCAATGGACCCATAATTCCGGTTATGAGAAACGTAAGAGCAATAACTTTCATTCTTCTATTGTTTTTTTCCTTTTTGAATGTCACTTTGAACGCGTCAATTAAGTGATTTAAACTAAAAAAGAACTTGATACGATTCCAGTAAGACTTTTTTTGCTTCTTACCCGAATCCAATTTTATCTGTTTTGTATCATGGACGAAAATGTAACCCATCCAAATACTGATGCAACAGAGTATCAAAGATATGATGTATACTCCGGAGAATCCGATTGCACGATATAATATACCGGACAAGCCAGTACCAATAGGAAGACTCATAGCCATTGTTAGGTTGACTAGACCAACTCTTAAGCTTTTATTTTGATCCTATATGTAAAAAAAAGGTATATAATTTTACATAAATTCTAATAATATAATTAAGTGCTTCTATAAAATAATTTTTTTTGTGTATAGATTAAGGTGTTAGTTTTTGTATTCAGTTTTAAGAACATTGTTGTTATTATACAATTTAAATGCAATTAATTTTGAAAAAAATGTATTTAAGTTTAAAAGGGTTTTTTTATTGTTTAATAATAGTTCTTATAAACAATATAAGTAGTATGATTTGGTATGTTCTGAAACCTGATCCTGATCTCCCGCACTTGCCGTCACCCCATCACCATCAATGACTGGTGTGACGTACATTTACCCCGCACTTGCCTGATCCCAATCACCCCTCACCAATTGATCGGTGTGACGTACATTTACTCCCCGCGCATGTACAATAATATGATAAGCGTAATTGATAACTCGGTGTTGGAACAGTTGGTGGGAATACGTTACACAATTAGACGGTAGGTAGTGATAGTGGTATGGGGTAGGTAGGGGTGTGGATTCAGAACTCATCTGCGTTAATATGGCACATGTACAATAACATGGCGCACGTACAATAATAAGTGTAGGGTGGGGGGGGGTAGTCAGTTGGCGGAGGGGATCAGACAAGTGCGGGGTAAATATACGTCACACCGGTCATTGTGGGTGAGGGGGTGACGGCAAGTGCGGGAGATCAGGATCAGGTTTCAGAACATACCAAATCATACTACTAATATAGACAAAAAAATTCGCTTCCCCTCAGAAACAGTCTTTAACATTTTTTTTTCTAATATAATTTCGAAACGTTAAACAATTATAAATATTGCGTTAACATAACTATTTACTAATCAATGAGAAAAAAGGTTTTTTTTTTAAATTCATCAATAGTTTTTAATTATTTCCATGGATAGATGACAGCATTTTTAACGACTGTTAATGTGACGAATATATTAAGCAATAACTTAAGTGAATACGTAAATTAATACGAAATTACAAAGAATTAGAAAGTAAAATAGTTGAATATAATATAAAGGTTAGTCCAAAACAATCAATATCAATATTATTTTGAAAAAATAAAATACGTATAATAAACATATATTGACCAATTTAAGTATAAATAAAAATCGTATTTGTATTTCTATAAATATGACCTTCGTTCAGTCAATAAAATAATTTCATAAGTGAAACTAATTATGTATTTCTTCAGGTTTATAGTTATAGGTTTTTATCATTATCATGGAAAATTGTTTGTATGTAATCGATAATTATAATGCATAAATACTAAACAGTGTATTACTAATAAATAATAATAAGTAAATATTATTATATTTACATAGTTGTAGTTACGTAAGTAGGTTCTTGATCCTGTTTGAAATAAATTAATAGCATATCTAAGAATGTTATGTTTCCTAAATACAGTTATTATTTCGTTTAACATAAAGTTATGACGTTAAATTATAATGAATAAAACAACATCTAAGTAATTTATTTTCACAAGCGAATTTCACATGGCTTATATTATATGTATTTTAACAATTTGTATTCATTTTAATTTGTATGCTTATAATCTAATTATTATATGATAATTTACTTTTCTTAAGTGATCTAGTCAAACTACGTTGTTTCATTTAACAGAGATCATACATTATTTGAAACCCAAGTGCATTTTTTAAAGACTAGAATTTAATTTTAAAATTAAGGTACATTTAATAATATGTTGAACACAATAATTTATCACTAATTACACAAGATAATTCTTGTGTATGTAATCCTTTACGACTATCCAAGAAAATAAGTAAATGGTGAGCACTATTTCTACACTACCGATAGTTGATAACATGTAGAAAATTATGCAATATGATAAATTAAAAGACATATATGAAATTTCATGAATAGCTTGTAATAAGAATGGATATTTTATTTAAAATAACCTTTGGAATTAATAAGTCGTATATGCAACCATGGTGTCCCGTCAATAGATAGCGGATAACTGATAGCGCGACAATTGATAGCGGTCAATTTATAGCGCGTAAATTGATCGCGAGTGACTTTTGATAGTATGACAATTTGTAGCGTCGTATAGAATTCAATAATCAAACAATTATTAACCGAAAAAACCAAATAAAACGAATGTTACCAGTTTTGGCGTATGTACCAACAGATAAAGTTGTTGATGCATTTGAGAAACTTTTAGACACAGATTTTTATATTCAAAATTAAGAGGTATTGATGCTACTAATAGATTATTTTGAGGGAAATTGGATTGGTCGCTTACACAGAAATAAAAAAAGAAGAGAACCTAATTTTCCAATAAATATATGGAACTGCTATTCTTTAGTGTCTGCTGATTTACCTCGAACAAATAACTCCGTAGAAGGGTGGCACAATTGTTTTTCTGCAATGTTAAACTCCTCATCGCACCCAACAATATGGAAGTTCATAAATGCGTTGCAAAAAGAGGAGCAAGTAAACAGAATGAAAATAGAGCAATGTGTTGCAGGAATAGAACTGCCATCGAAAAAAATTTATAAAGATCGGAGTGGTAAAATCAAAAAAATTTGTTTAGATTATGAAAAAAGAACAATTGAAGGCTATCTAAGAGGAATAGCACATAACTTCAAGCTACAGATATAATATTTTTAAGCTAAATTTTAATAATGACATGTAAAAAATGTATAACATATTATACTTAATAATTTTTTTTATTTTTATTTTAACATAAATATTGTATTATAATATCCATTAATATCGTCAAATTTTTATAACTATAACCTATTTTTTTTATTAATTGTTTGGTTATTTAATTTTTTAGGGCGCTACAAATTGTCATACTATCAAAAGTCGCACGCGATCAATTTACGCGCTATGTCTTAAGTAGGTTTAAAAATAAAATGTTCAATAGTATAATATATAAATATAAATAATTCAAAATGCTTAATAATTGGTATTATACAGTTATAATTTGAATAAACCCAATTAAGGACTATAGTTAATTGTTTGAATCATAAAAATTAATTAAACTTAGACATGGGTAAAAATTATGTAACATATTTTATATCAATTAATTAAATTTAATAGATTGGTAACAAATTAAAAAGTATCAAAAATATGATAAGTGTTCAATATCATTATTACATTTCGTTTGACCTCATGTTTTTATTTACTATTCTCACGTATCAACAGTCATTTTAAAGTCAGAGCGAACCTATGATTGTATTAATTTTAAAATAATGTATATTTTTTATTTATTTATTTTTATGTCTGTCATAATCTTTTGGAGAAGTTAATATAACGCTTCAATTCTCAATATTAAAAATAGTTTCTGGCAGAAAATTAAATCTAGTTGTTATTTTATAGGGAAAGGGTAAAAAGTAAAAAATTCTCATATTCCTACTAATAAAAATAACCGATAAAAACAAATTAATAAAAAACGAGAATTTTTAAGCAAAACTATTTTTTTATGAAATCGATCATTTTTGTTTCAATTCTAAAATTAATAACTGTAGCTTTTTCATTTTCACTGAATACAAAAAGATTAACATTAATTAAACACATAGAATTTTTAAAATATTTTAGCTCTTTTTGTCCTATTTATAGGTATTTTAAATATAATTTTATATAGTTTTTAGTTACAAAATTCATCAAAATTGCAAAAACTTGCAAATTATTTTGTAGTTTAAATTCATAAAATTTGATTACTCATGCATAAGGTCTGAAAATCTAATCCAAAGGTTCTTATTTAAGTTTATATTACAAGAGTAATAAGAAAAAATGAATCGTGATTTTATGAATATTTTGATGGTCGTTTTAAGTCAGGATTTTAAAATGAAGAATCACGAGTAAATGATCAATTATTCAAAAACGATTTTAATTACCTATTCTAAAAGTATTAACCATAGAAACTTTAAACATTCTAAAATTATCCACATTTTTTAAATGTTAAAAAAAAAAAAAAACATTTAGACTGATAAAAATGTTGGCGTTTGAAGTTAAAATATGGAAGTAATTAGATATTTAAATGAGAAATAATGGTTACTATTGTTTTTTGTAATTCGAAGACATTACTTGCGAGAATTTGAAACTCTTCCGTAAGTTTATTATTATATTTTTATTTTTATTTTCTTAATACTCAGACGAAATCTATTGTTAATAACAATAATATGATACAAATATTAAACAAGAATGACATAGAATAGGAATATACGTGACGAACGGGGAAAAATATGGAAATTCATGAAAAAGCATTAATTGCTGTAGACAGCTAAAGTACGAACGATAATCATTATCGTGCTTGACGCGCGCTATTCTCGCGAAAAAAAAAAAAAAACCCGTCACCGGAAAACACCCGCGTAACCGCTTACCGTGCTGTGGTCGCCCACGTACGAGAACACCGCCATGTATATGACCGTCCAGTAACCGGTAATGGCGATCGGCAGCGACTGCCAAAGGCCGGTTATGTTCATCGACAGCTCGTCGAAGAAGTGGACGCACAGCAGCAGGCCCACGTTCCGAACGATCTCGCCGTAGACGGGCAACAGCATGCACGGCCGCCGCAACCTGTTCCGGTCGCTCCACGACCCGAGGAACATGACGAACACGGCGGGCACGCTGCTCTGCAATATCGTCTGCCAGATGAGCATGTCCGCGACCAGCTTCTGCACGGTGATCTCGCTGTCCGTGAGCAGGGTGCTGTTCTGGTCCTTGTTCTCCAGGGCGTCGCACACCTCCGAGCCCAGCTTGAGTTCCACCCGGCACGCCTTCTGGATGTTCAGGTTCTGGTTGGCCAGTATGACCAGTATGGACGCGATCAGGTACGGGAACAGCATCGGTTCCACCGTGATGTTCTGCAGCAACATCCGGTACAGCGGCTCCTTCTTGTCGGGGGCGTCTTCCGGCCCGCTCCCCGCCGGCCTTTTCGTCATCGGCACGCTCTCCGGATTTTCCGGCATCAGCTGACTGTCTTCCGACGCGTCCGTATTCGCGTTTCCGTTCAACGCTGCGTGCACCTTTTGACGTCGTTGTTGTTTTTCCATGCCGTTGGACGTTATGAAATTATGTTACGCGCTGCAACAGCCGCTGCTGTAGAAGTAGTCCACCTGTAACAAACACACGGGAATATGCTGTTTAAATTTGAACCGTAGGTTTTATGCCGGACGGTTCTTTAATTGAACAACAATTTCAAAATCTATAAGCGTTTTTGAAAACACATTTTTTACCTTTTTTTTTATATTTATATATATTTTATTTAATTATAGCATAATCGATTTTATCTCGCAATAAATTATTATAAGCTGTGTACGCCACAGGTCCTGAACTTTTGATAGATTACATTACTGTTCTACTAAGATTCGAAACTTGTAAATTGTACAAGTACTCTTATTTTGTTAGATTTAATTTACAAGTATTATAATTCATTGATCAAGTTATCAACTATACTTTAATAATTATTGTCTAGATTCGTAATTAGTTTATACATTTATGTATAATTTTTTTTATTATATCAAAAATTAAATCGTTTTTTTTCTAGGACACTGTTTCATTCAAATACTTATTTTTACTGTAAATAGTATTTATATAACAAATTGTAATCATATATTTTTTATATTAATTTATAATAGTATTATAATTTGTATCCAATGTCAACCATTTGCATAAGCAAAAAGTATTCTATTTTCCTGTAACTAAATTTATGCGTGAGCCTTTTAGTCTAATCTAACTAATGAGGGATGAAAAACGAAGCTATAAACTTTATCTTAGTCTCAAAAAATTTATAAAATCTATGAAAAAACTTTTATTGAAAATGATCCAGTAATTTTTAAGTCTAAAGAAAACATAGAAACAAACATTATTTATGTATAATACACAGATCGATAATAAAACAGAAAAAACAGTAAAACTTAAGTAAAAATATATATTATTTTTTAAGTTAACGTATTAACATTCACAAGCTGTCACCACCATTGATTTGTATAGTATTTTTAAACTACGTATCGTCGTGTAATTATTGTGAGCTACTAGCAATATATATATTAATACTTGATAAGATATCACTATATAATTTAATGATTAAAGAATGGTTAACAGGCATATTTTAATTTTGTATTAGGTATTTTTTATAAAAAAATTTAATAACTGCGTTTTGCGCCATTATGCTGATTTTGATTTTGATTACGTTATGTTTAATAACAATAATTTAGCTATAATATAAAATATGATAATGATATAGTATAGTATATTATAATCAAAAAACTTATTTGATTTTAATATTTTCAATAAACATAATGATGAAAAATATTCTAACAAAAGCAGTTTATTATATACCGTGTGTTCACCAATTTAGGGAACCCTGAATCTCTCGGACGAATTTTATTGGAATAAATCGATTTTTATTTACAAGCTAGTGATATATAAATACACAGATACATTTCAAAATATTTATCGTTTTGATATATTCATAATGCATGCGCAATAAAGCATGTTTTTTTTTTAAATAACAACACCTATTTTGAATGACATACTCGGATAGGTCTAATATTTTAAGGTGATTGTCATCTATCAACTATGGTTCTAAATTAAAAATTGATTGAATAAAAGCAATTTAAATTTTAATAAATAATACATTTTTGCAATAGTCTACAAAGATCTACCAGATAATTTAGATAATTTAGCAGATTTAAAAAATAAAATCGTGGTTGATTGTAATATCCTTACTGAAAATCAATTGTCAAAAACCAATAGAGGATGTCTACAACATTTTCAATTATGCGTTGAAAATAACATAGCAAACTTTGAATAATTAATTTAATTAATTGTATAATTATAAATAAATAAATGTATATCCATATTATGTTAATCTTGTATATAACAGGTATAAAAAAAAAATAAATACGTAAAAGAATTCAATAAGTACCTAATCAATAATAAAGAACTATAAATGGTTTTATGCACTTAGATGAATTGCAAAAATCTATTGTTTATTAAAATTTAAATAGCTTTTATTCAGTCAGTTTTTAATTTAGAACTATAGTTGATACATCAAAATTACCTTAAAAAGTTAGGCCTATCCGAATATGGTATTTAAAATAGGTGGTTGATATTTAAAAAATATATTTTTATTGCGTTTTCTATTTCTAAAATGATAAAAATTTTGAAATGAATCTATAAATGTGTATTTATATACCATTATCTTATAAAAAAAAATCGATTTATTCCAATATAATTCAGCCGAGAAATTTAGTGTTTCTTAAACTGGTGAACACACAGTATATTATAGTTTATTCAATTCTTTGATAAAAATTAAACAATTGAATAATTTAAATCAAAAAATTAGTTGAAGACAATTCTAACCCAAATTACTACCGACCTATAAGTCCTTTGTTTTCAATTTTAAAAATCTTTGAAAATATTGTATACAGAAGGTTAACTAATTGTTTAAATGCATTAAAGTTTAATTCTTAATTATCAAATCTTTACTACTTCACATCTAAAAAATATTTTTGATTAACTGAACGTACTAATATTTTATAGTATCTGATTGAATATACTGTACATTATTGTAGTTATAACTTATGTTATAATTTATAACTAATATATTAACATATCTACTTATATATAATATAACTTGACATCTATTGTTTCTGGTATTAAAATCAATAAGGTTAGAATGGTTAGATGACTTATCAGAGAAACTTTAAAAATAAAAGTAAATTTAAAAAAAAATCGTCCAAAATTTGATTTTTATGTATTAGAATAATTTAAAATAAAATAATAAATTATAATTTTTTTTTTTAGAAAATTTTTATTTTTAATGGCTTCAAATTATGTAAAAAAGTATTTTCAAAATCGTTGATAACTTTTTAGTAAATGAAAACTTGGTATTTAATATAAAACTATGGTTTAATGTTTTAAATTTGACTATACAATATTTCTTGTAAACTAATAATATAGTAAAATTATTTGTAAATATAATTAATATATTGCAGTGATAATCAATCATTTTAAGTCGTCGGTTAAAAACTGGAATAAAAAGTCAATCTACATTTTTTAAATAGTTTTAACTGGTTCTTGATTTAAGTTGTAATGTAAGGTATTAATAATATTATTTCGTTGTGTAATTTTTTATAATATCTAGAAATCACGAGGTTTTAAAATATATTATTCTTTTATTCTTAGTAATTTGTTTTTAAAGACTATGTAGTTTGTCTGGGACGCTGTACCTCATATGTACGTTCAATATGAGTTAGTAATAGTTGATATTATTAAAAAGGCTGAGAAAATTTTAACAGTCACGTAGTGGTTTACTATAAAAATTTACTATATAGGGTAAAGATATTTATACGGTTTAGTTTTTTTTTTTTTTTTTATTAATGTGTATATATCTAATCGATTTACTACTTTAATATACTATAATAATATGATGTTTAATAATAGTAAAATTAAGTCTCGAGGAGTCTTAAATAAGAAAACAAAAAGAATGATTAACTCAAGAAGTTAAATAATATACATCATATATTGGAATTTAAGGATAACAGTGACAGAGGCTAAAATATATTTTTTTTCGTATTACACACTGTATATTAAACTTGGAGTTACTGTGGGGGGGCTATGCCCCCCACACCCCCCAAAAGAGTTTTTTTAATCTATACACATAAGCATAAGGTAGTAAATTTTTATTTTTATTTTTTTTTTTTACCTACAAAATACAAACTACATTACAATAAAATATTATCAAACTTGAAAACACTATCTACAATCCATTCATTATATATAAATTATGGATAATGTTCAATTTAAAAACTGTGAATAATATAGTATGTAAGTACCTAATCTAACTATTAGTCTTCTTTTTATTACTGTTTGTATATATTTAATTAAGTTATACAATATCAATAAATTATAATTAGAAATTTAAAAATGGATGAGGTTTGAGTTAATTGTTGTTTCATCTACCATTGAAAGAGTTGATTTTTCTGATGCTTCTGGGAAAACTCCCCCAAACCACTTTTGTTTGGTTGCATAAGTATGAGCCTGAACATTGTAACAAACAAATAATTATATTTTGGTTTTCAATTAGTAATGACTAATGACTTATATTTTATTTTATCAGTGGCATTATAATATACCTTATTATGTCTTTTTTTTGACTTAAGCCATTCTAGTACTGCATTATGAGGATTGAATTCACTCAATGTTGGCATGTTCAGCTTAATATAAAGACTATCTTTTATTGTTTCTGGAGATAATTGTGAACGGTCTGCAGTTTTAATAACATTGTAGTAACTGATTAAGCGCTCAACATCCGCACTGTGAGGTTTCATTGCAAGAACACGTGCCTAAAAAATTACAACTAAAATTATTAGATTAAAAATAAAAATTAAGTAGGAATATATTTAACCTAAGTCTTAGGTATATTGACTTATATTATTTTGTTATATTTAAAATAAGTACATACTATTGAAACAGTTAATGATTCCCAGCTTGCACAATTTATCAATATTTTGAGAACACTAGTTGAAATAAGCTTGTCTTTAATCTGAGAATGTCCAGACGCTTCTTTATATGAAGTCACAAAATCAACTAAACTAAAATCTGGACAAATTAATGAATGACATTCTTTTAGTTCCATATCTGATACTGACATTTTTATAATCTTCAGTGGCTTTAATTTAGACCAGTTGGTTGTATCTAATCTTTTGAGCATGTAATTATAAATATGTTCAAGAATATCGTTACGAATAGCAGCAAAAGATCTATTATCTGTTACATATTGATGGTTAATTTTTCTTCTAGAATTTGAAACATAGTCAAACAGCTGGAACCCTTTAAGCATAAATGTTGTTGTATCTTTCTCACTGTTGGAAATATATGACACATCTGTAGTGTTAATAATAGTATCTTCCCAACCTCCAACAAGTGGTGATTCTTTCATTGTACTAATAATATGTATAACACTGTCTCTTTTGTCTTCCACATCAAAAATTAAAGTCTCATCTGATTGAATTTGTTTTTGAAATCGTCCATAGACATAACCCAGATCTGTTAGAAAACATAAGAGTTTTAATTTATTAAAATCTGTCAAAAATTTTAAAAATCCAACTGCTACTGATTTTTCTTTTCTTTGACAATTCCTTCTTCTTTTTTCTTATTAAAATAACATACTAAAATGTACCAGTTTTTTATAATTCCATAAAATAATTTATAGGTAAATTCAGTCCAACGGACTTCAAAATATTTGGGTAAATGTAACAAAGACATGTTGTTCTCATCTGCAATTTTTTTTAATTCTTTAGTACGAAGACCAGACTGATGAAAGTATGTTGCTATTGATGTACATGATTCAATAATTTTTTTTACTTCCACGACATTTGCTGTAAGTTCTTCCCAAGCTAACGCACTGCGGTGTACTGCGCACCAAACTTTTATTAAAGGCATATTAATCAAAAGCCTATCATTTGTTATCAATGCCCATAAACCATTTTTTTCTCCTACATTAATTGAAGCACCATCTGTGACAAGAGAAGATATAAGTGGAAGTATTTTATCCCAAGCTAAATAATGTTCAATTGACTTTTTTATTGCATTATAGTAACCTAAAGCACCTCTGGTTTCTGGTTCTTCAAATCCCAAAAAAAGTAAACCATTGTTTCCTTCTTTAGTAATTATTTTCAACATTACATGAATATTATCTATTTGAAAGCGATCAACAGAACCATCAACTCGTAAAGAAACTGAAATACAAGACAAAAGTTTATTTTTCAGCTCAGGAATATCAGCAAGCACTATATGTTGAAGCATTTCTCTATGTCCAGGTGGATTAATATATTGAAGTTCTCCTTCCAAAGGTTTTAATGGACTAAATTTTTGCTGAATATCTAGTTTTTGTCGTTTTAAATAAGCAACTTCACAAGAAGGCCATGACCATGCACTAATAGTTCCCCGTTTAGCATCATTAAAAACAGTGCACATTAACTCACTGATTCTTTGAGATACCTTTAGGTTTTGAACAGAGATTAATTTATCTAAAGGAGCTTCTTTAGTTTTGTCTTCTTTTAATATAGTAGACAAACGATGCACTTTTAAACATTCAATATGTTCTTTTGACATTAAATGGTTAGAAAATATATTTTTTCTAGGAATAGTACCACCAGAAGAACAAATAGCTGGTACATGATTTTTTTGCTTTGTGTGTATCAATACTGTACCTGGATACTGAACACAAATAGAGCATCTCATTAATTTCCTACCTTTAGTCTGAGGAACTTTTTCAAAACAAGCATTATTTATAATATTGCTCTCAACACTAGGATCTTCAGACAAATCATCATTAGTATCATTAACAGAACTTAATTTTTTTGCCACATCAAAAGCTTCATTTCCACCACAATTGTTTTTATCATTACTAATAATTTCAAAATAAACATCATCTAAAAATATATAATGCACCTAATCAAATTAAAGTTAGAATCCTAATACTGAACTAATAATAAATTATCTTAAAAAAATATAAACTGATAAAAATATTAACAATTTAAATTAATATTATTATGATTATAATTATAATCATTGAAAACAATTTGCAATAAATGTCTTTCATAATTTATTTATTTCTTACCTTTAGTCTGAGTAACTTTTTCAAAACAAGTAGTAATATTATTTGTAGTATTACTCTCAATGTTATGCTCTACAGGCATATCATAATTAGTATGGTTGTTATGATTGGTAACAGTAGATGTAGCTGGATCAATTGTTTTTTCTTTTTTTATTAGCCACTTATGCATTATTAATACTTAATATTTTAATATTGTAAATTTACAATACTTAATTGTTCAGGACCAATAATAAATAAAGTATACCACGTAAATTGATTAATTAAAATAAAATCTTGAGATATACTAGTCAATATTCAAAAGCACTGATATAAATAGTTTGATTATGATCATATACTATTCATAATATTCATTACTATACTGTAAACTTAATCAATGTTTTTATAATATAATAATAAATCTAAAAATAGCAATATTCATGGATAATATAAGAAAATAAACAAATAATCAAAATATTGATAACATAGATATTAGATGGTATCATTGCTTGTGATATTATCATAAATAAAGATATCTATAGACAGTTTTAAATAATGAATAGTTTACAATATGTTATTGTACATTAAATTCTTATCTATCTATTTACCAACAATAATTCTTCAATTATTGAAGAATAAACTGTAAAAAAAGTTACTAATTATTACAGGTCATTGCTCATTACACACTTTTTAATTTCGTATTACACACTTAGCATTTCGTACTACACAAAGTGTGTCGTACTACACACAATTTTAGTCCCTGAACAGTGACTAAGTAAAGTAGAAAATATAATTTGCTTAGATCTTGTCTGACAAAGTAATTACATATTTTTTAAAAGACTTCTCAAATTTCTTTATGATATTAAATTGTAAGAATACCTAAATATCTCGGTTACTTGATCTGGTATTTATATAGTGATAAATTGACTCAATATATATTGAATTTATAAGTATTTATGGTACATTCTTAAAGCAGAATTTTCTAAATTCACGCGATATGATGATTTCGAATTTACAAAATAATACTTTTTTTTTATTTCAACAATATGCCCAGGGAAATATGTTGAAATTGAATTTTCTTAATAAGTAAAGATCAAGGAAGATCAAGGTCAAGAAATTATTATAGTTTTTTTTTTTAATATTAACATAAAATATTCTATTCCTTTGAATATATATTCTTTATACTTATATTTAAATTGAATAATGAATACTATTTACCAAATATTTATTACATAAATTCAAGATAAAATTTAAAATGAATGATTTCAGAAAGATTACAGCTTAACAATATGTTTAAATTTATATTTATACTTAATATGTGGCTAGATCCAAGGTACATGGTTGGTAACAAGTGAGTATTGAATAGTTTTAATATTTTTGAAGTTAGTGAATAAACACTAGTTATTACATATACTTTGTAACTTAAAACAAATTATAATTATAACTAAATATACTTAATTGTCTTTATTGCAAATATCAAAAAAACATAATAAATAAATAAAGATTCTAATATTTCATTTTAATCATGAAGTAAAGAATTTTGTTCGTGTACAAACCATGGAGATTAAAATATTCTAGTTGTTATTATATACCTAACTAGACTAATTAATTAAAAAAAAAAAGAAGAAATAAAAGTGTATATAAAAAACGCATTTTATTATTATCAACTATAAAATATACAATTCACAGTGGACCATGATCTATTTAAACTGGTTTATCATATCTAGTCACAGTTTATTTATATTAATCATTACTATTTTAAATGGAACAATTTTTAATTATTAATGAAGCAATATTAATTAAATTAATTTGAGTACACTGAAATATACTTTTGGCCTTTTTATTAACTAAATATGATGATCAAATTAATTTGTATACTTCTGTATTTTTAATGTTTAGATTATTCAAACTAAGTATTATGACTTGGTATATTAATTATTTCTACTATTGTTATTAAATTTTAAATTTCAAAAATGTAATAATTATTATCGTTCGTGCAACATAGTTATGCACATGTGCAACCAACAACACAATACTATTATTTGATAAATATATTTTGTTTATTTGTAGTGACTATTCGTTGGTTTTATTACATGCCTACTACTTCTACTACTATCTACTATTATAGCCCATTTGTTGTGACCCACGCATAAAAGATGTTTAATAAAAAGAAAAAAATTTATTATGCAATATTACGTAATAATAAGTTAAACAATTCTATATATATATATATATATATATATATATATTTAATCTTACATTTTTAACGGTTTTAACTTTATCGTGTAATTGGTTGGATGTAATTCTATAGTTCTATTATTTCTATTTAAGTTACTGGAATACCGATCTTAAGAAACGTCGTTTCTCTTGTTTCCTTCAACATAGTTGTGGGTGTGAGAGATGCCGATTCTTTTTTTATAAACAGTTTAGCTGACGTCTGTCCTGCGAGAAAAAAATACCTATGACTGAAGTTCGAACTAAGGATGTTGCACGTAGCAATTTATAAAAACTTAAATTCTGATTATAAATTGTGATAAGCATTTAAACATTGGATGTATGTATTTATTATAATTAAATTAATATTGGAGACACAGTGGTTCAAAAAGAAAACAAAATGTTTAATATTATAGATACACCAAAGTACGTGTATCTCAAATTAATTAAATAAAATATGATTCAAGTTCGTATTAGCATTATCTATCGATAGTCAATCGAATCAATCACACGTTTGCTTGTGCCAGTACCAAATTATTATAACCGAATAATACTTATACGTAGTCATGAAGAAGTACACAACTACTATTATAATATACATACGTAGGGTAGTCGCCTATTCGTCTATACTCTATTTAAACTATGATACTTATATACATTTTAGGTTTTGTAAACTGAATACAAAATGGTATCCAATTGCCGAAGGTTATGAAAAGATTATCTCCTTAGTAGAACTTAAATCACTACCTTGTCGATGATGACGGCTGGTGGGAGTGGGGAGCGTGATTTCTATTTTTGACGCTGGCTCAAGTGTTTTTAAGTATGCGTCGTGAGGAGTATGCCGTCTCAATGCCGCCCAATGAAAAAATATCGTTCTCGAGAGGTGGCATGAATGGTAATACCAAGAATGTTGTAGAATGTTGTAATTATATGTAATAAGATAATAGTAGATTAGTTTTTTCTTGCAGTTTAAACAAAACACGAAAACTTAACTGCCGTGAAAAACCATAGATTTTGTGAAAGTCCTAGATTTTCACACACATATACATACGAAGATGTCAATTTATTATATTGCAATATCAGTGTAAGTTTGTATAATATTTTGTTGCTCATACTGCTCGGTAAAATATGTAAATCGTGTATAGCCATTAGTCCTAGTGGGTGTTAGTGGATAACTTGCAAACTAGTGTTCATGTACCACAGCAGTGTAATACTGCTATTACATAACTATAAGCGCGCGGTTAGATTAGGTTAGATTAGATGCACAATATTAAATCAAAAATAAACACGACTTACTAGTACTCACCAGCCTCAGAAGTAGGACCTGGGGAGGGAGAACGACGACGCGACGAATGTTAATCGTGACCCTTGCAGACTGTTAGCGATGACAAAGTAAATTGTTAAGCACAACACTATATCATTGAATATAACACGAATCGGCCCGCCGTTGTCGGATATTGAAAACCGGCGCGTCTGGTCGTCAGGGTGATGGTGATGTGACTGCCAGACTACGTATAGTTGGCTATTCGGCTGTATAATATTACTCGTTAGTTTAGTAAAATGAACGCCATGCCGTTGTCGGTTATTGCGTGTTTACCAGTATCTATCTACCTACCTATACATAAACCAAGTCCAGTGAAGCCGACCCGTTACAAACTGGTTATGGCTTTTGATATTATGTCTCGTCTATATAATGGTAGGCGTACGTATACACGATTTTACGGCATTCACTGAATGATTATTTTATTATTATGTGGTGAACACATGCAATCGATGTCTGGTCGAAATCACATTAAAATATTGTTGAAATATCGAGAAAGATAAAAATTGACAGAAGATTAAAATTCTTATCTCGAATTTAATTGTAGGTCAATATTTCGTCAGTTATTCCATTGCACGTATTAATATTATAAACGTTGTGCTGTATTCCATTACCGCCACCGATGTCAGTGGCTCCCGAATTTCCGATCTTCTAGTTACCAGACCATCAGTTGAGTGTTAATCAATAGGCAGTAATCACTTATCAGAATAATAATCGTATTAAAGGTACGTATTAATAGGTCTTTCGGTTTATGGCACTAATGTCATCACAATAATTGTTCTCGGCGAAAAAAAAACGCACGTTTATTAAAACTTATTTAAGTATTGTAAAGTATTACAGTTTGACGTTAGCCTAATGTAGGAACCGTCGAACCGATACAGATTATTGCAAGTGATGATAATTATTTTATTTAGATTTAATAAATCTGTGTTAAATATTTTGAAAATATCTTATTATATATAATTCATTAAATAGTTGAGATAACATTTGTAATTCAGAAGAAATAATTTTGTCACGTTTTTGTTGCGGTTCTTACAGTTTGTATTGGGTTTATTATAATATATTTAAATAAAAGAAAACTAAAATTAAGATGAAAATTCATACGAATTTCGTCATTATTAAAAAAAAAAAAAAATGAAAATTTAGGTACTCATTATACTTTATTATATGTATCGAGTGTACCTACCTCATCATTGATTAAATCACTGTTATCGTAATGTACTCGTATACATTACATTTGGATTATTAATTCATTTCATATTGCTAAATTATATTTTGTAATAATTTATTGTGATAGTAATTTAGAAAATGTATAGTTAATTTTTATTATTATAATAGTATATATTATCGTTATTAAATTATGAGCTAATACCGGCTTACCGTAAAATGGTACGAGAATGGGTTCGTGGTATAAATCAGCGAAAACATAAAATCAATTTAAATGTTTTGAAAACGTTAGTGTGAATAATATTTTTGAGTAAAACAAAATAATTAAAATAATTATTCTTCATTCAAGTATATAATTTCAACTAAATTCAAATTTAAAATATAAAAAAAAAATTCAAGTTCTAAATCAATAGTTAAATAGATTTTAGATTTTTTGGTTTCAATATGAACTATTTATGAAGAACTTCGTATTAAATTGTCAAGCTTAGCTACAAAAATTTAATATTATATATACTTTTAATTACCTACTCAATAGTTTGTAGATAAAAATGTATATTGATAAGTTTTGTCAGCATTTAATATTAAAATTTAAAATGCATAAAAAAAAACTATGTATCTTTAATATTTTTAAATAGGATTAAAAATAACTTATGAAGAACCTTATATTGAATTTTCAAATTTTTCGTTTAACAAAATATTTTTTATCGATATTATTTACAAAAAAATCGTATACAAATTAAAACTTGTAGTTTAAAACTACAAGTAATCATTATATTATATATGAAAATTTCTGAAATAAACATTTTCTGAAAATTTCATGTATCCATGGTTATTTATTTTTGATTACCTATAGCGAATGAACAAAATAAGAAAATTGATTTTAACGAAAATTAGTTTTGCGTAAAATTCTCGCCTTTTCCTAATTTATTTTTTTTTGTTTTTCTTTATTATTTAATAAAATGCTAACAATTTTCGATTTTGAACTCACAAAAGCGCCAATTAGATTTAATTTTTTTGCTAAATAAGACATTCGTATAAAAAAATCAAAGCTTTTCTACTATAAAACATATGCAATAACAAAAAAAAAAGTTATTATAAAATCACCCCGCTTAGAATCTAAAACTATGACTTTATTATATTTTTAATAATTTACGATTTATGTAGAAACAACTTATGAAAAACTTTGAATTGAATATTTAATATGCTTTTTACTTTAAAAAAAAAAAAACAAAATACATAGGTAAAAAGGGAAAATTAAAAAAAAGATCAAATATTTGGAACGTTCATGTAAATAGATCAAAAAGATAGAAAATATTTTGAAAATTATTAAAATGTAAAGAAATTTATGAAATAAATAATTGGTTATATCTTCAAGTTTTTAATTTAATTTATTTTTTGAATATGAAAGATAGATAAAAACTATACTAAGTATTTTTACTATTCAGACACAAAAAAAAAAACAAAATTCATCATGGTACAACCAACACTCAAATCAGAAACTGGCAAAATACATGCTTTTTTTATCAATATATCTAAATGATTGTATAATAATCTGATTTTCTATGGCCTTTAAAATTCGATATTAACAAATTTTACTGTAGCAATATTTCATTAGATAATTAAAAATAAAATATTCGATTTCCTCATCGGCCTTCATACATCGCCTATTAGATTCCTGTTCCCGGCATTACTAGGTATTTTACTATTTTTTCTATAACCTTGCACAGCTAATAGACATCAGTGACAGTTTAATACAAGCAGTCTCTATACTCTATTCTCTACAAAAACGTATTACCATATTAACTATTGAAAATTATATTTAAATTTATTTTCATATCAGAGTGTAACTTATTAATAATTCTATAGTTGATTAAAGTTGGTTATTATATAATATATACCTGTTTCATGAATTAGTATTGGTCTACCTAATAAGAAAAAAAAAATTATAGAGACAATACTTTTATTTTACCAGAATTTTTTTTCATTAAATATTTTAGTAAATTCGTTTATATTTACCATATATATATCATGTTATATAAAATGGAAAATTTTACCTAAAATTAGTAGAATTGTGGTTACCTATTACCAAGCACGGCACTAACATTTTTTTCAGAAGGGCAGAGCGGGGCAAATATTTTTTTTACATAGGCTAAGGTTTTTTCAACAAATACTGAGGTTATTTAAGTAAAATATAAATTTGTTTTATGTCCTTATGTATGAAAAAATTAGATCACAGACCTTCAACAACTTACAACTATATTAATAATGATGTACAAAAAATGATAATTTCTTTATTACATACCTTTGTGAATGAATAATTATGTTTCTTTTATTTACAATTCATAAATATAAATTAAAGTAATTGTGTTTAGTTATGAACAGATGAATTTGTTTTACTCAACTTTTAATGCAATGATTTGGGATACTTTTGTTTGTTTATTTTCATCCAGTGATTGGTACTCAATAAAGGTAGGTAATAATAAATAAATAAAAGATTTTTTTTCTTATTTTACAAATTTCAAAATATATTTTATTAAAATTGTAGTAGATTTTTTCCTTCTTAGATAATACTAGTAGGTTATTCCACCGTAAAAAGACTGAAGATGTTATTTGTTCAAATTTCATTAATTAAATTATTATAATCTATACTAAATTCAATTTATTAATTGTGACAAATATATTAAATAAACTAAATATTGATATTTTACACAATATCTATTTATGCACCAAACACTAAATGATTGAAAATCTTAAAACGTTAAAATAGTTAATAAAAATGTATAAAATTGCATCAATACCAGTAGGACTAATATTTTTTTAAATAAAAATTTATGATTACCTAATATTTAACTAGTAAATTTCAAGTTTTTAATTCAATATATTTTTAAATCGGTATTTGCATAATATATTATGCATTAAAGAATCTACTTTGTATTTTTTGTTGAATTTTGGAGGTTAAAATAATTCATGGATATATATTAAAACGTAGACACTTAAAGAAATCCTTTCTTTTTATTAATTACCTATTAAGTAACGTCTTACACAATATTAGTGTATAAATTAAACATACTAAAAATAATAAGTAAACTAAACATATTTTTACCTGTATACAACAAACATTAAATTAAATTAATAATAGTCTTCAGTTTTTGTGTATAAAATATTAATATTATTAAATCGGTTTTTATAACAGCAAAAAACTTAAAACACATATCTTCGAAAATACGAAAGTATTTACATAATATTACTAATTTAAAAAAAGTATATTTCATAAATTCTCTGATGTAGCTCTTTTAAAAAATAAATAATGTTTTATGATTTTATTATATCGTACATATTTTTTAGTAGGGGGGTTGGCGAAGGAGCTGAATTGTTTTCTGAGGAGCTAGATCCCCCCTTTGCCCCCTCCATGGCGCCGTGCCTGCCTATTACTGTTTAGTTTATAATGTGATTATACAAGTCTGTGTAATTAAAGTGAGATTCAATACTTCACGTATCGTTGTATCAATGAATAACATACAATTTTTCTAATAGTTTTAAACAGGTCTGCAAAATTATGCATACGGACATTACGTCATAGTTACACTAAATATTTTAAGTGTAAACATATTGTAGTTAAATATAATTTATGTGTTTATATAGACAAGGTTTAATTAGGATTTAAATAGCAAAAGGAACCATGATTTCAATTCAGTGTTCCATCTAAACTAAAATAATTTAACTTTATTTCGTTGACTAATCGATGGTGGTGGTCATATGGTCATTGTGTTTATAAGTATTTCTAATCAGTAAACTAGGACCTCATATTATAATTTAATTTACATATACATTTATCGTTTTTATTATAATTTGTTTTATTCTAAGCTGTAGTGCCATATGATTTTCTGTAGTTTAAATTAAGTAAAAATTGTATGATAAAATATTAAATCACTGCCAGTAAAGTATGTTTTTCTTTTTAATAAAAAACTATAAAAAAAAAAAATAAATAAAAAAAAAATAAGAACATTAATTCAATTATTTTTTTTTTTTAGAATTTACCTACACAAATACGTAATATATAATAACAAAATAAAATACATTTAATTAAACGTAATATGAAATAGTAAGATAATAAAATAAAACTCAACTAAATACTTGACGTAATAATATTTCAAACAATTTGAAAAATGTTCAATAAAATAATTTTATAAAACTAAAATTATAACCTTTAAAAAATAAATAATTATATTTAACGAAAGAAATTGTATTGATTC